GCGCCACTCCTCAGTATCCTTCCTTCCTCTCCCTCGAGGACGTGGGGAGGTCTCCAGAGTGCCTGGGCCTCAGTGTTCACCATCTCTAAAGATGAGGGTTTAGGCAAGATGGCTCCCAGCTCCCTCCTTCTGTGACCCCTGGTCTCTGCCCTGCCTTGCCCACACCTGAGCGTCTCATTCTGTGGTCCCCACCCCAACCTGCTTGCCTGAATTCCTTCCACCTGTCTGACCTCTGGCGACAGCCACCAGGAATGTGCCTGCTATGGCCTCTGGGTCCTATCCAGAAAAACATGCTCTCCCGTGCCTCCGACATAAGCGCACCGTGGCCTCCAAACCAGGCTTTGCAGAAGGCACCTGCTGACCGCCACAGGAGAAACGAGCCGTCCTCACAGAATGCCACACGTGGCTCTATCACAGCAGCTCTGTGCATCTCACCTCACCTAATGTTCCAGCATCTCTGTCATGCAGGAACTACTGTTATCCCCATTTGAGGTATTTGGGGGGAGGGGGGTGGGTAACGAATCTCAGAAGAGTTGACTTTCAAATACTCAGCCAGCAAATAACGAGGATTTGACTCCAGCTGTGGCTCCAAACCCAATACTCTTTCCACAGGCTTCCCAAAGACCATGTGTTACCAGGCACATGGATTGATTTTGAGAATAATCTAGACAGAGGGCCCCTGGGTGGCTCAGTTGGTTGAGCGTCCAACACCTGATTTCAGCTCAGGTCATGATCCCGTAGTCTTGAGATCCAGCCCCGTGTTGGATCTGTGCTGAGCATGGAGCCTGCTTAAGACATTCTCTCTCTCTCTCCCTCTCTCAACCTCTGCCTCTCTCCCCTGCTCATTCTCTCTCTCTCTCTTTCTGAAGTTAAAAAGAAAAAAGAAAAAAAGAATAATCTAGACAGGAATTGAGTTAAAACTCCTACCTATAATAGGCACTGCTGGTTTCCAGCACGAGCTGGTGAGCACAGAGCTCATGAGCCGCGTGTCTGCAGAAGACGGTCTCTGGTCTCTGGTCCTTCTCCACTTCAGTTTGGGGTCTGTTATTAGTTTTGCAAGAGGGGCTTGTGCATTTGATTTTGTCCCCAGAGAGCCTGCAAGTGAAGTCTGACCCTTCCTAGCCTCCACCGACGGCTCAAGTGGCACCAGGCTCCTACGCTGACACGTAGCCTCTACTTCAGGGCCCCACCTGCTCGTGGGCAGGCCTGCCTCCGACCTGACTCCCACCCAACCACCTGGTCCCGAGCTCACCTGCTGAAGCCCAGAGGGCTCCGCTAAGCCGATGACACAGCTGTGAGGTCCCTCACTTGCTCCCACCACGACTACCCTGTAGCTTCCCTGTAGGCGTGGGTTCTGCCGCCCGTGTTGTGAAAATCCAGACTGTGTTCCTCAGCTCTGTGTATCTGTACATGTGTTTGCTCCTCACGCATCTCAGGCTGATGGGTCACGTAGGCGGTGCTCTGGCTCTTGACCTTCTGCAAGCCCAGCCTTTTCCAGCACCTTCCCTGGTGCGGGCGGGAGACGGGGGCGTGGAACCTGACAGGTGGCAAATGCGGGCTTTGTCTTTTCCCAAACACTATCGCATTGGTGACTCGCTCTCGCCTCCACCTGGTGGCACATTAGCCCAAGAATCTTATAATGTATTCAACCGTTTTGCCTGCCAAAAGTGTTCCAAAACCTCACGGGTGGTGCTGATTGTACAACACGAAGGCCACCTCCCTGCCCACGCTTCGAGCAGAGTCACAGGGAGCAAGCTCCATTCTCAGCACCCGACAGCCACACCCCAGGGCTCATTTCTCTTCCCTCCCTGTCTCCCGTTCCCTGAAAGGCTCTTCAAGTAATGCTATTTTCGTGGCTCTTCTGCATAAGGTTAAAGGTCCCCTGCTGTGTTTCTCTTCTCCACCTGCTCTCCCTTGAACCACCCGCTCTGACCTGAGCAGGTTATAACCCACGTCAGTAGCGTGGAAAGCGGTGGTTCCTGCTTGATGCAGATTTATTTTCCGATGACTCTCCGACTTCAGCCTCTCTGGGGCTCGCTGCCCGGACCATTCCTTCCTCCCTCTTGTTCGCTTCCGTGCCTGACCCGTGGGCACATATGTCCTTGTCAGTCTCCTGCTCCTGATCACAACCGTCCTTCATGTGACCATCACCTATCAGTACCCCTGACTAGTAGCTGTCGTGTTTAGGTGGGATTAGGGACAATCCAGCTGTAATTGGATTAAACGTGGACACATCTGAAGGAGCCCCCAGTTCTGCCTCAAGCACAGAAACCGACACAAACCAGCTTTCTCTCCTTCGCGCCCTTCATTCTTACCTACAAGCTAGTTTTCTCTTTCCCACGTTCCTCTGGCTCGTGGGCTCCAGCAGGCTGCCGCGGGGTGGGCTGGATTGCAGTTCTCAGGCCGGCTCCCTGAGCACTCTTCTCCATTTGTGTTTGTTTGTCTCCTGTTACCCTCCTGATGGGTCCCTCAAGTGCAACAACATTCAACGCAGTAGACAACAGTGACTGTTGCGTGTTGGCAATCTCCGATGAAAAGTTTCCAGAGTTTGACCATTTAGTGTACTGCTGGGTGTAGGCTTCTGTAGATATTCTTAGCTGGATTCAGAAAGCTCCCTCCAGTGTTATCTGTTCAAAGTTGTTATCATCAATCAGTGGTGAATTTTCCAATGCTCCCTGCATCTGTTGGCGGTGATTATACAATTTTTCTCCTTTAATTGCTAATAGGCATTGACTGATCTTCAAATGTTAAATGAAAGCTTGATTCTGTGAAATACACCGAACCTGGTTTTATTGGTTGCTGAGATTTGACAAAGGAACTCTGCTTCTCTACGGAGCAGGGAGAGTGAACCAGAGTTTTCCTTTCCTGTCCCTGCATCACTGCTCTCTTTAGACACTGGCATTAAGATCATGTTGGCATCACATCAGGAATGGGCAAATGTTCTTTTTGTGATTCTGAAAAGCAGTGTGTCATGTAGATGTTATTTCTTATTTGTTGTTTGGTAGAACTTGTGAATGAAGCCATTTTGGCCTAGAGTCTCATTTATGGACCCAATTTGTTTGATAGTTACAAAACTATTCATATGTTCTAATTCTCATCTCTTTTAGTAAGTTGTATCTTTCTAAGAACTTTTCTATCTCAAAAGAAAAGACTTTTTCTACCTCAACTAAATTTTCAAGTTTGTTCAAGTGAGGATTCCATTTTTTATATGAACAGGAAATTCTTCTCATTTTTCAATTTCAACTAAATATTCACAAATATTCAACTTTTTAAATTCATAACAATTTTAGTGTTTTGTATCAATAGAAGATGTTGCCCATGCTCTCTTTTCAGTCTGCTCCCAATATTGACAAGGTAATTCTTTCCTGTTACTTCTGATGAAAATTTGAAAACTGATGACCTGATAATTCTCATTCTTTACTGAACATTAGATTCATCTAAGGAGTTTTTTTTTTTTTTTTTACTGCCGGTACATAAACTCCATCCTAGGACAATTAAGTCAATGTTTTTAGGTGACCCTCAGCTGATTTGATGTGTATGCAGCATGGAGGCCCAGTGGTCTACACTACAATTTCTCACCCTTGGTGCTATTGACATTTTGGGCCAGAAAATCCTGTTACCATGGCTGCTCTGTGCATTATAAGTATCTGGCAGCGCCTCTGGCCTCCACCCACTAGCTAGATACCTAAACATCTGCTCCACATCCCCCAAGCTGTGACAACCATCAATGTCCCCAAACATTGCCAAGCATCCAGTCACCGGACAACCATGGTTCCAGGTCAGATGAGGCAGCTGTGGCAGGGATATGGATTAAAAAAGAGGGGAATTTCAAACGGGATGAAAACTAATTTCCAATAAGCAGAGACACATGACATCAGAATGGACTGTTCCCAGGGTGGTGATGGCCTGTTGTGTTAGCTCCAGTGATGGCCATAATAAAATAGCACAGTGTGGGCTCCTTTAAGAGAGGAACTTAATTCCCTCACAGCTCTGGAGGCTAGAGGTTCAGGTTCAACGTGCCGGCAGGTTTGGTGTCTCCGGAAGCCTCTCTCCTTGGCTCCCAGATGGCGGCCCGCTCTTGTGTCCTCACAGAGCCTTTTCTCTCGGAGTGTATATCCCTTTCCATATCCAAATGTCCGCTTCTTACAAGGACACCCGCCATGTTGCATTAGGGACTACTTTGATGACCTCACCTAACATTAATTACCTCTCCAAAGGCCCTAGCTCCAAATACTTCACATTCTGAGGCACTGGGTGGTTAGGACATCAACATGTACATTTTGGGGGTGGGGCCACAATTCAGTTCATGACACCTAGCAACGAAGGCATGCAACACAATGGCTTGGTAGTCACTTACCCGGGATACCGCAGGGCAGCTTTGTGCTCTATCAGATAGAATACAAGACTAGTCTAGAGACCTTGTGGTTACGAGATTCTGGGATACCAGGAAAAAGGCAGAATTCATTCCAACTGGGAAAAACAGGGGAAGCATTATAGCGCAGCCATACGTCCAACCTGCCATGAAAGGACCATGGATTTCAGCAGAGATGGTGACAGGAAAGATGGGGGAACAGGAATTCGGGTCAGAGAGGATGGTACAACTAGGCAGCATGACAACGGGGAGATGTTTAGGAGGCTCACGGGGTTAGAAGTGAGCTTCAGCGTTCCTGAAACACAAGGCGTGCGTTTGGGCCACTGTATGGGGTGGTACAATACTTTACGTGGGGACTAACTCGAATCCCTTGCATACCTCAAAGCTCTCTGGGCAGAAGGAAACCCTCCTCAGAACCCCGCTGCTCATCATAGGCTGACACAGACCTCAGACCAAGGGCGCTCTGCAGGTGTCTCATTTCCTGGGCAGCCCCGGAGACGCCTGAGTGCTAAGTTCTTGGAAGACAGAATTCTTGGCAGCACTCTGCAAGGAGTTGCTTTAACTAAAGTTCTAAGGTCACTGTAGCCACAAGCCATGAGTCTCACACGTTTTCTCTCCCTTCTTACAGGTGCTGGCTATCTCACAGGTCTCGGCCAGCGGTCTGACCACTACATATGTGTACGGCAAGGAGGAACCTGTAACTTTTCTCCATGTCCACTCTTCACCAAGGTCTATGGTACCTGCTATGGTGGAAAGGCCAAGTGCTGCATGCGTTGACTCTGGCCTGGGAGTGATGGACGAAGCATGCGCAAGTCAAGTGAAGGTTTTGTAATGCTTGTATTAATAAAAGAAGACTTTTTTTGTTTTGCATCCCTTCTTCATCCCAAAATGAATCTTGTGTCTCCTGCTGGAAGAGGTTGATAAAGTAAGAGGGTTTGGAGAGTGGAACTCGGCCAGGCCACGGAGCCCGCCCAGTACAGGGATGGGGGGTGCCTGACCAGGCTTGCTGACATCACTTCCACTGCATTTGTCACCAAACCAACACGTGGGCAATGAGACCCGGGATGCATGAGCAGGAGACGACACAGAGGAAAGTCTTCCCTGATTCTAGAGGGAGCTAACCCCAAACTCAACAGCAGCCTGGTCAGTGAAACGGATGATGTGCAGAGCCCGGACCGCTGCCCTCTCTCCTTCCTGGGCCTCAGGCAGCGTGTTGGTTCACCTTAGCACAGGAGACTCTCTTACGAGTACAAAGCCCCTCCTGTAACTCCCACTCTCGCACCTAGACTTCTACTCCACAGCCACACAGCCTAGCCACTTATCGCCACCGAGGACTTCCCTTATAATTGCAACTTCTCAGCTCACTCCCTTGGCCTGTAGACACCTGTTGTTTGAGGATAATGGGTCACTTTCCCTTTCTTCCAATAAATTTTTTATCACTCTTGATGACACATGTGGTTCTCTGGTCTCATTATCTCTAATGACAATCTCATACTCCACCTCGATATGTTATAAGCACAAATGAAAATCAAACATTGTTAAAACGGTATAAAACCAGCGTCAGGGTTTGGCAGAACAGCCCCCTTTTGTGAGGGAAATGCGGGGTGAGGAGAGACTCCCTGGTGTCGGGGACACTAACCTCCTCTGGGTCCTCTCTGTAACTTACAAGCAATATACGTTCAGCCCCAGCACATCCGGGCCTCTCCCTTCCACGGAAAAGCTACTCATCCAGAGGCATTCTGTTTTGTAAAGCAACCTCAGGCTGGCCATCAGCTTCCCTCCAAGATATGGAAGCCCACCGGGGCGCCTGGGGGGCTCAGTTCGTTGAGCGTCCTACTTCAGCTCAGGTCATGACCACGCAGTCTGTGAGTTCGAGCCCCGCGTCGGGCTCTGTGCTGACAGCTCAGAGCCTACAGCTTGCTCCAGAATCTGTGTCTCCCTCCCTCTCTCCCTGTCCCCTGTTCACAGTCTGTCTCTGTCTCTCCCAAAAATAAATAAACATTGGGAAAAGAAAAGATATGGGAGCCCACCCTGGGAGCGTTCCTCTGGTTGTTTAGTCAAAGACGGATTCCCGGATGAGCCTTCCCGCTCAGGACAGCCGACCTTTGGGTTTCCCGAGACCCAGGTTCTCAGGCAGAAAAAAGCCCACATTCTGAGTTTACCTCACGGTTTACAAGGTTGCGGTAATTTTGCCCGCCCTGCCAGGAGCTCTTCAAGGGACTAAAAGTACGTGCTATGGGTCCCCAGCCACAGAGAGGGAGGGGACTGTCCCCGGCAGAGGGTGCCATCGTCTCCAGACTCCAGAAAGACTACCAGGACTCCTGCAGCCCACCCTCCCAAGACATGCGGCCCCAGGGCCTGCACAAGTATGCGGGGAGCAGCCCCGACAGCACGTTTTTAAAACCATTTATGTATTTATTCTGATAGAGACAGAGCACGAGCAGGGGAGGGGCAGAGAGAGAGGGAGAGAGAATCCCAAGCAGGGTGCACTCGGTCAGCGCAGAGCCCGATGCAGGGCTTGAACTCAAGAACCATGAGATCATGACCTGAGTGGAAACCAGGAGTCAGTCCCGGAACCGACTGAGCCACCCGGGCGCCCCCTGGCTGCACATTTTAAGAGACTACAGCTGACGACGTTCTCACCCACTCTCAGCACCCCTCCACTCAGCACCTTCCCCCACCATCAAAGGTCCTCTGAGCTCTTGCAGTCACCTGCACCCCCTCCCCCCACTTGTGCCCAGGACGTTTGCAGGCTTGCAGCTTACAGAGTGGCCAGTACCGCCCAGAGCCCGGGCTCTGGTGATGAGGCCCTCCTGCTTGTCGCTCCCCACCTTAGCGGGGCCACGGCCGCTTCTGCCTCTCCGTCTGCCTCCCCCACGAATGATGTACACTCCTCGCCCTTCTCACCACCACGCCCACCACTGCTGCATCCCCTTTTCTGAGACTAGAATGCAAACAGTATTGGCTGAGCCATCCCGGAGGGAAGATGGTTCTAGAGCTAACGGGGTGCGTATGGTTCTCTACAGCCCACTTCACTTCTGAACGCTTGCAAGGACCAGTTTCTGGCCCCTATGATAGTAGTTGTGTCGATGAAAAGGAAGCATTGATTTTAATAAGCTCAACACACAGTCCCAGACCCAGCTTTATTACTGCAGCTGTCCTTAAGGAATTACCAAGTCCACTTCATGTATAGCCAGTCCACGTGCTGACTCCTGAGTGGGCCGTGTCCACTGAACTAGACTGGTTTTGCACGGTCATCCTTTTAAGGAATGTCTCCCTATTATGGAAGGCACTCTGCTATACTCAAAGTCTACTGACTCAAACGTAGTGTTATATATAAATTATTTTCTGCCTCTTATGTTTTGATAGCTATAAAAAATGAAACACAAAACAAACAAAAACTTTCCAGGCGGGGAAGAGACAGCCCTTCCCGGAGCTAGCTGACTCTTAGCGAGAGCAGAGCCCCAGCCAGGAACATCCCATCCAGAGCCACCCTCCTGTCTGGCCCATGCACCCAAGGAGGCCACATCCTCTCGCCTCTGTTGTCCCAGGGCAAGGCCCCAGGTTACCAGAGTCTACCCCTCCAGCCTAAAGCCTTCCAAAATTGTTCAAGCAAGCCAATCGCAACCTGTGAAGCCTTCCCTGCTTCGCCTTACCCTCCGAAACACCACTAAAGGCAGGGCCTACCCCCTCCCAGTCTTTCTGTAGTCTGCCCCCCGGCCACGCTGGCGTTCCGGCGTGCCCCTGCACCGTGTACTGTTCCTCCCGTCTCTAGGACCCGTGAGGGCCATCCACCTGTGTCCTTGAGCCCCCCCTCAGTCTCCCGGTGGCCGCACCTGACTGACCATCTCAGGGAAGACGACAGAATGCTTAGTGTCGAGAACAGCACGCCAGTCATAGCCTGGAGGGGATGCAGGAGGTGCCCCATAATGGCCTGGCTGGCTGTCTGGCCGTCCCCACTGGGCTCTGCCTTCCGTGGAGGTTCAGTGGCTGCTGGTGCTCCGTGTGCTGCTCCGCTCTGCGCTGCCTCTTTGGGGCACTGACAAGGCTTCTGACCTGAAACGGGGGACCTCCTTCTGGAATTCAGGCTCCGCTTCCCTCTGGTCCTGGCTCAGCGGGAAGGGGAGAGGTCCTCTCGACCCCTCCATGAGGCTCGCACAACAGGCTACCATGATCAGAGGCTCCCCTGGAGGGGGAGGGGAGAAGAGGTCTCCCCTGCAGCCGGCTCACTGAGGCTCAGGTGCGGCTGATCTGTAGGCAGATGAGGGCTGGGCGCCCGTGAACTTGCTCATGCGGTTGAGCACGTCGTTCACGTTCACCATCCTGGTGTTCTTCCTAGCCAGTGAGGGGCATTCCTCTGAGGGAAGCCCACCACAGTGCCCCAGGACTATGGTGGACACTACCCCTTCTCCTCTGTCACAAGTGCACCCGGCCCCACGGGCTGTCATGGGTCCTTCGGGACTATGGCTTGACATTTAACAGAAAAGGGGAAGGAGAAGGAATATTTCATTCCACGCCCCCTAAAAGGCCTGAGCAGTTTTCTTGGCTGAGAAGATCTGCCTTCAGGGTTGATATGAGGACTCAATGCGATGGTGTGTGTAGCACCACGGGGCACGGTCCCTGACCCATGTTAAACACAGGAATGGAAGTCGTCTTTCCTCTTCTCTGCCTTAATCTTGGAGGTGTGGCTTCAAGAAGGGAGACGTGTCATCTCGTCCAGCAGTCAGCGGTGAGGAGCCTGGCTGGCCACCTGCATGCAGCCCTCTGTCACCCCGGCCACCTAGGTCACTATCAAGCTGGTTTTTCTGCCTGTGTGGGTTCGAGAGCTTCCGCCTGTGACATGGAGTCTGACTCACGGCTGAATCAGAACATCTGTGCAGGAAGAGAGACACTTCCCGCAGTCGGAGACTCAGGAGATCACAGAGCTGGAACCGTGGGAGTCGAAAGTGAAAAAGACCCTGCAAGCCATTCGTGGCGGGAATGGGAAGGAGGCCCTGGTCTCGGGCCCCCTCACCGCCTCCTGGACCCTAACTCTTCCTCCCTTAAGATCATGCCCAGAATGGTGATCAAACCATGAAATGCTTATGAAAATTCACCCAGCAAACTATCACCGCTTTGACTGAAACATCTCAACATATCAGGTCACAAACCAAAAGCCTCTAATCGCGCCTCAGTCCCATTCCATCCCGTCGGGGAAACTTTCAGTTCTTAAAGAATGTCCTCCGGTTACTAAGATGCAGCTCATCTAGTTTCTAACTTCAGTCTCACCCCCTGTTGGACGTCCCTGCCCCCGGAGCGGGCGGATGCGCTGCCTCACCTGCAGGAAGTGAGGAGGCCACGGTGGATGTCTGCGCTCCCCACCGGGCCGCGGGAGGCTGAGATGGCGACAAAGGCCCACCTGGGATCATCCCACAGACAGCAAGGGCCTCATTCCCTGAAAACACAGCGGTCGGCGGCGATGCAGGAAAAGGCGAGTCTGAAGGGAAAGAGCGACTGCGTACGGAGCAATTTGGACTCAGCCTTTCCTTTCCTCTCCAGGCACCAGCGAACAGCCCTGCTGCCGCGCAAGCGAGAGAGCAGCAGACGCTAGGCCCACTCAGCGAGGCTGGGCGACCCGGCTCTTCCAGAACGGCCTCGGGGGGCTGCTCGTCTTTAGCGGCTCCCCGAAACCCCCCCATCCTGTGTGACCTCCCACCCATAGGAAACCGGCCCAGGTGCAATTCTTTCTCACGTCACATTTTAAGGCAGGAAGCTCCAGGCCTCAGGGTCTGCCCATGAACTCACCGTGCAATTCTGCGTGCGCCCCTGCAGCTTGCCCCTGAAGCCCGCCCCAGTAG